AAGTGTCTTTGCAGGAAGGGCCCTGGTACTCACTCCCTTTACAACCTCTTGGTGGTGAGGACCAGTCCCTTCTTTAAAAATGGGTACATGAAAGATGTGGGAAAAGGGGCTAGCCTGGAATTGTATAACTTGGGCAAGAGCTGGGTCTTCTCATTAAATGCTGCCTTCACAAAGTCTGGGTTGTGCTTGAAATTTCAAATGGGAGCTGAAGTGTGGCCCCCCCAAGGGCTCCCAGCGCCACGAACTGACCAGAGAATCATGGGCTTGGGGGGAAGGGCTGACAACCATTCCGCCCCCGCTCCTCCCTCCCCCAACACCCTGGAGAGTGACCTCTGTCCAATGCTGCAGGCCTGGGCTGGCAGCCAGAGGCAGGCCTGCTTCTCCTCCCAAGTGCTGTCCTGCCACCGCCCCTCCCACGTCGTCGCCCACTCAGCCCTCCAGCTGTTCTGCATGGTCTTCAAGCACCGTCCCCTCAGGGGCAGGCTTAGCCGGTCTCTGCCCTCTCTGCAGACAGGGTACTGCTGGGCAGCGAGGCTGCACTGGGCTAGCCCCCATGTCTGTCTGACCAGTGGACACGATCATCTGGAACAAAGCTGCTGTTCCAGGGAATTCCCCACACCACGGGGTGCTGATTACTGAACTCATACCTCCCCTCGAACACCTGTGGAGCTACCACACCTGTCCATTCTAGACTAGACAAGCCCATTCCTCTCAGGGATCTTCAAGAAACCATGGTTTTTAGCACTATGTGGTGGGGGTGACCAGCAGTGGCATTGGTGAGTCACCTGACCATCAGATGCAGGGTACTCCTCCCAAGGCATGAGGCACCACTGCTCTCTTGGAGGTCCCAAGAGGTTAAGGGACTTGCCCAAAGCCACACAGCTCGCCCCTCCCTGGGCCGAGGGCTGCCAGCAGATGCTCTGGCTGGGTGGACAATGACAGTGGCAGCTCCCTGGGGACTTCACACATCGCCCCTCATCTTATCCGCGGGTGCAATAGAGCTACGAGAAGTCCCACTCACTGCCTGGGGCAATATGGCTAGTGAGCTGTGCCATTTCTGTGGGTGGCTCACCCTCGCTGGCCACAGGCAGCCAGGAGAGCAAGACTGAGGCCTGGCAAGGCAACGGGAGGGGCTCAGCGCAGTGGGACTTGAGGCTGGAAGAGCCCTAGATGAGGTCATGCTGCACGCCAGAACCCAAGTGGGGACTTGAACCCAGGCCTCCAGCCTCTGGTGAGGGGACCTCAGTTCTTGCATTTGTAAAATGGTTCTTCTGTGTGTGTGGAGACAGCCATACTAGTCAGGACAGACCTATTCTGTCACAAAGTCACCATGTGGCCTTGGACAAGTCATGTTCCCCTCTCCCAAGCCTGTTTCTCGCTGTGTGTGTGGAGACAGCCATACTAGTCAGGACAGACCTATTTTGTCACAAAGTCACCATGTGGCCTTGGACAAGTCATGTTCCCCTCTCCCAAGCCTGTTTCTCCACTTGCAAAATGAGAGAACCCAAAGTTGCATATGGCTGGGCCTCTGCCCTGGCTCCCAGTTCATGCTCCCTGTCAATACACAACAGCACCTCTGAGCACCAAAGCTAGCTACCTCCTCCAAAAAATGAGGACAGCAACTGCTTACATCCTCCACCAGGCTACTGAAAATATCAAATGAGGTGTGACAAAGCCAGCCCCAGGATGCTTCCCAGCAGGAGCGATGCCCAACCCGAGCCAGTTCCTGGAAGTCTGCATCTCAGCCCTACGGGGTTTCCAGTGTGAGTTTTCATCCCCAAGTACAGCCCCACCAGACTCGAGGGCCATCCATGGAAGGGCGAGGCGAGGGGCCGCAGTTCTTGGCAGCAGGTACAGCACAGCCCTGGGTCTGCACTTATGCCTTTGCCCCCTCCTCAGATCTCCCAGACAGAGCACAGCAACACAGACAGGGGCTAAGGAAGTTTATTTATGCTAAAGGGTGACACTGGCGCAGAGCACCCAGGAGTAGACCCTGAGCCTTTGGAAAGGGCATATACTTCAACCAATGGCTTTCCCTGAGATATGGCTTCTGCTTTCCCCAGACTAGCATGGTGAGTGATCACATGTGGCTGGCCCACAGACACACTGTCAAGGGCTTAAGGGTTGCACCAAGCTTTTCTTTCTAGCTACGTCTACCCACCCAGGGACATGGCCAGTGCACTGCTCTGTGCCGACTTCTACTTCAGTCCAGTGTCAAAACAAGCATCTGCAAAGGCAACAGACTCTCCTCAGCATCTTACACAATCAGAGGTAAAGCAACCACTGGTTTCCGCAGGATGGAGTGTCTAAGATCATTTGGTAGAAAAATAACTAGTAAGTTAAGGGAAATGAGCATGATTTCTGGAGTGGAATACATGCATGGTAAGTGAACTAGAGAGTTTCACTCACAAGATCCAACTTAATAAGAACTGTCCAATATTCAATGTTAAAAGCAGCTTTAAAGTGACTTGTTAGTCAAATGTGGAGCAAAGCTTTTAGCCATCAATTTTTTTTTTTTTTTTGGCGTGGGCTAATATTGTTCCCATTAAAATTTCCCACATCAATTTTTCAAAACATTTTTGAGTTTTACAATAATGACATTTTAATTCCATATATACATACATAGAATACATATTTTATTTATTTATTTATTTTTTTCCTTTTGTCTTTTTTACTGACCGGCAACGGGATCGCAACCCTCGGTGTCACGCCCGCACCGGGGACCGGCAACGGGATCGCAACCCTCGGTGTTGCGCCCGCACCGCGCTCAACCAGTGAGCGGGAACCGGTCTCCACATGGGATCCGAACCCTCGGCGGGAGCGCCGCTGCACTCCCAAGCGGCGCACTCTCCAGTGCGCCACCGGGCCGGCCCAGAATACATATTTTAATAGAACAGGTTTTGAGAGTATCTTTGGAACCCTAGGCTGCTTTCAAATGGACAGTCCTCTGTGGACCAGAACTGGCTGGCCTATGGACTTCCGACCAGAAGCTCCACATCCTTGGGGCTGCTTTGTGGGAGAGTCTCACAGCTGGACTTCTCTAACTGACCATGCAATGTTAGCCAACACCCAATCACCCTGTGGTGTTTTGCCAACAAGAGACAGAAATGATAAATGAATGGGAAGAAACAGTATCGATAACACATTTACAGACAGGCCTGGTAATTACCACATGACAGAAGCCTACAGTTAGTGGCGATGTGATTGGGCTGGGATTACCGATAAATTATGTCTCTTTATAAGCATATATAAAATAACTGTTACTAAAAGCTGAAGGACAACTTCCGGGGCGTCATGAACTCTTTCACGATCTCATCAGTGACCTCCTTGCGCCGGGCCTGGTGCTCGGCGATCAAGGGCTGCAGAACCTCTATGAGCACTTTCTTGAGCTCGCCTGTGAGCATGGCTCCACTGGTGTAGTCCTGCCCGGGAGAAGACAGAGCATGTGAGGGATGGCTCCGGATGCAGAGCTGCTCCAACCTGCTCTTAGCACACACTGCTCACACAGAGCTACTGCTGTGGTAACCATAACAATAACCTGTATCTTGAACTACACTTTTCTTACAATGGACCCATGGGGAGTACAATCCCCACCACCCGGATACTGAGACCTTTTATTCCAAGCATACTAAGCAAACACCTGTTCCGGTCAGCCTCATCAGCTTCTAAGAACTCTGCTGTTTTTTTTTCTTCTTCTGATTGTGTAAGTAATACACACTCCTTAAACAAACTTAATAAAGTACCCATACCACAAAGCAGCAGCAAGGTAAAGAAAAAAATCACCTGCAATTCCAAAACCAGAAGTTGATGACCACTGTCAACATATTGGCATATTTTCTGAGATTTTTTTCCCCTGTGTATTTTATTTAAATATAGTTGACCTCTCAATGCATTTTTGGTTTGGTATCCTTATTTCACTCTCTTAGGCATATTTTCCTGTGTCACTAAAACTCTTTTAAAATAGTTCAAGACTGCATAATGATCCGTCCCGTTACAATTCTTTTCTTCCCCTGAGGTCTAGAGACAGACTGCAAAAATTCTTATTTAGAGTCTCCTCTGTCATAGAGTCTGTTCTGAACTTTTTGCTATTATTGTTTTCAAGCTTTTGCTGTTATCATTTAAAACTTTGTGTGGAAAGCTTTTTCTTGTTCAGGATTATTTCCTTGGAAAAGATTCCAAGAATTGGGAAAGCTGAGGCAAAGGATATAACATTTTGGGGCCCTCGGTACCTGTGGCCACGCTGTTGGCTGTGAGGCTATGCCGCTGGCACACTCCCGTGGGTGAGCCTCACAGCACCTAGTTTATGAGCTCTGAGCACACGGTCCACGGTAGCACAAACAGCCCTGCTAATGCTGGAGGGGAATGGCTTTAACCCTGATGCTATTTCTCTGATGACGAGTAAGACGAAACCATTTTCTGTGGCTACTGGATAAACAGCAGTTTGTCAGCCATCTGTTCACGTGTGAGGTTTCTTGGCACATGGTTCGAACATGCAGCAACCCCACACTCAGTTTTTACCTTGATTCAGGTGAATGCCTGCTCCTAAGGCCCAGCTCTGTGGAAGCTCCCACCAGCCTGCAGGCCCTGCTGCCCTTGGGACCTCCCACCTCACCTTCCTGATCTGCTCGAGCTTGTCATCGTCCTCAAGGAAGAAGGTCAGGTACATGAAAGACACGTCCACGTCGCAGTTGCCCCCGAGCTGCCTGTGCTCTTCAATGGTGTCTTTCCCTCCGGAGAATGCGTGCTTGTTGACCTGTCCCAACAAGAGGACGCAGAAATGCTAGTCCTGCCTGTCCTGTGACTGGACATGGCCGGGAGACAATGTGGGGAAAGTCAGCCCAGGAACCGCTTTCTGTCTCATCAGATTCTGGCCCAGAGGAAGGCCAAGGCTCACAGGTGACAGGAGGGCCCCCCCAACTCTTCTTTCCTGCCAAGACTGGGGACCGGCTATAGGGGGGCTAACTGCAGAAAAGGGAGAGAGAAGGGAGGGCAGATTAGTTTTGAACCCCCAGTCCCCAGAGACACAGCAGAATCGAGCCAGGAAAACCAAAGCACTAACTGGGCTGAAATTTGAGGGAAGTGTCCTAAAGTATTCTCAAGTGATGAGCTTTAGAAAAAGGATGAGCTAAAGTCATCTTAAGAGTAAAGGAGATGAGTGGGACAGGTAGCCGCTCTCGGGACAGGTGGTACTGTGTTAATGGGGAGCAGAAAGCAGCACAGCCCACTGCCAATGAGGCTCCTGCCTCGTCCACTGCAGACACGAGAACCAGGCACAGGACAGGCCGCAGAGGGGAAGCAGACCCAGGCAGAGTGAGCAGGCAGAGAGGGCCTGCAGGCAGGTTTCTACTTAAGACAGGCCAAGTTCCAGTAGCTGGAGAAAAACTCAGAATTAGACAAAATGGGTTTAGGAATCATTGAAGATAATCTTGGAGAAATTAGGGCCAAGAAGTGAAAGAAATAAAAGCCAGGAAGGATAGACAAAATTCCTTCACCATTTTTTTTGGTGGCTGGCTGGTATGGTCTTCAACATTCTTTCAACGAGTATTTGAGAAACCTACCACACACTAATGGCATGCAGATCTTCTTTTCAAATGGGGAAAATGGGGGTAGAGTCAATAAATTCTAAGTTGATATGTTTAGTAAGTCTCCCCAGAATTCCAGAGCAGATTTCTAACTGGATAATTTAGGATCATCTGGAAGCAGCAGATGAATGTTTGGGGCCAAGATCAGAATAAATGAGGAGCCAAAAGGAAACCATCTTGGGCCGAGCCCGTGGCGCACTCGGGAGAGTGTGGCGCTGGGCTCCTGCCGCGGGTTCGGATCCTATATAGGGATGGCCGGTGCGCTCACTGGCTGAGCGCAGTGCGGCCGGTCTCAAAAAAAAAAAAAAAAAAAAAAAAAAAAGGAACCCATCTTCATTTTGGTGGGGCATTGCTAAGTGGCTGGTCAGGGAAAGCCAAACTTGCTGGAGATGCCTGGGCAAGGCCTTGCACTAGGGGGAGCTGGTGCAATCTGGCTGGCCTGTGGGTGGGCCCGGGGGGGCTGAAAAAATAAAGATAACAGGTGAAACGTTCATCTTACCTTTACTTAAAAAAAAAAAAACTTATAAAATAAAAAAAAGTTGGGCCGGCCCGGTGGCACACTGGATAGTGTGCCGCTTGGGAAGCGCTGTGGCGCTCCCGCCCGAGGGTTCGGATCCCACATACAGACTGGTTCCCGCTCACTGGCTGAGCGAGGCGTAAAGCTTGTGTTGCGAATAAAGATAACAGGTGAAACGTTCATCTTACCTTTATTTAAAAAAAAAAAAATTTATAAAATAAAAAAAAGTTAATTCATGAGAAGTATAAAAACTATGGAAGATACCAACTAAACAGGAAGAAGAAAAAACCACCTAGCACTGAATTCTCCTGGGGTCTAAGAGGTTAATTCATGAGAAGTATAAAAACTATGGAAAATACCAACTAAACAGGAAGAAGAAAAAACCACCTAGCACTGAATTCTCCTGGGGTCTAAGAGCCCTTGGGGCAGGTGCTGTGACACAGATGGAGTCACTGGTTGTGGCCTGGCCCAGCCCTCCTTGCTAGCCCTCCCTAGGGGTGAAGGTACAGTCAGGAAGAAGGTCTGGGAACAGTCTCCCAAGCTCCAAGGGCAGTTTAAAAAGGTATCAAAGGCCCTCTGTATGAGAGGTAAACCAGGAGCCCCATATTGCTCTTCCTGGGCAAGTCCCTCATCCAACAGGGAAACACAGCAGATGTGCCATACACAGTGGCTGTTAGGCTCATTAGAAACATTTTATCCTCAACTACCCAGTGACCTCTGTACTGCTTTCTCCATCTTACAGGAGAAGAAAATGAGGTCCAGAGTGTCCAGAGCCTGCTTTATGTGGCAGGCAGTGGCGGGGCCAAGCACACCGGGCTTCCAGGTGGAGCTAAAGACCAGCAAGTAGCCTACGTCTGCCTCATGTGGGACCTGTCTGGTCCTCAGTGATGCTGGGGAACAGTTCATAAGGCCTGACTTACAGGAAACCAACAGAAAAATGGGTTTGGGTTAAGGTGGACAGCAGTCTCGGTGGTGGGGCCCAGAATGTTGCTACCAGTATCTAAAATGATGGAAGTGGGTGAGATGCGCCCACACCAGAGTGACTCTGTGTAATGGGAGATAATGCCAAGTGGGAGGTCTGGGCTGAGGGGCAGGGACTTGATTCAATAACCAACCTCTCAGAGCCAGTAAGCTGTGGGGAACCAGTCCAATGGGGTGGTTGAGCTGGCCTGAAGGAGTGCCTGACCCAGGACTGCCCAGAGGGCCCTAGGACCTCTGACCCTGGTGTCCGAGGCCATCTCTGGGAGGGGGCACTAAAGGGGCCTCTGACCAGAAGTGATGAGTAGGGGCCAGGCTGGCAACCTGTATCACCATGTATGTCCCAAGAAGGGGCGATTCCACGTTTAGAAGTGTTGCCTGTGGAAGGTTTTGACTAGTTCTGTGGGCTCTGACAGAGTCCACATGATAGCGCAGGAGAGGCACCTTTTAGCTTATTCTGCACTGTCCAACTACTCACTTTTTGAACTAAAATCTTAAATTTGGGCAGCATGCTACAGTTTACAAACACTCTTTATATGTGACCTCATGTCAGCCCCACCTCGAGTCTGTGCAGCCAGCATAACTATTCTCACTTCACAGAAGACACCTGCACAGCCACAGTCACTCACAGATCACAGCAGGTAAGTAGCAGGGCCTTGTAGGATAATGTGAAATATATTTGGTCTTTGTTCCTGAAACAGAGGCCCTAAATCCCTTGTAATTTTCTGAGTTATAAGGGTGATGGGGGGCTAGCCCAGTTAGCTTAGTTGTTTAGAGCTCAGTGTTATAACACCAAGGTCAAGGGTTCAGATCCCCATACCATCCAGCTACCAAAAAACAAACAAACAAAAATCAAGATCATAAAGGTGACAGGAGCATCTTTTGTTATAGAATTTGTTTCTGGCATAAAGTTCCTAAAATTCTTGGAATTTCCTAAGTGATAGGAACATCTTTTCTTTAGGTCAAAAGCCCTTTCTGATTTACCTGAGTTTATGCTAATGAGGTGACTTCAGGTGAGGCCCCTAGATAGCCTCAGGATGAGGCCGGTCACCAGAAGGATCAAGTGATTAGAGGGGTCTGAACTTTCAGTCCCACCCACCAACCTCCAGGATAGCGGGAGAGGGGTGCTGTAGACTAAGCTCTATAAATACTCTTGAGCAAGATTTGATAAGCTTCCAGGTTGCTGAACATGTGGAGGTGCTGGAAGACTGGCGTGCCCAGAGAGAGCATGGAAACTCCATGCCCCCCCACCCCCATACCTTCCCTATCCACCTCTTCATCTGGCATTCATCAGTATCCTTTGAAACATCCTTTATAATAAACCAGCAAACATAAGTTAGTGTCTCCCTGAGTTCTGTGAGCCATCCTAGCAAATTGAACCCAAGGAGGGGGCTGTGGGAACCCCAGTCTGTAACCAGTTGACCAGAAGTACAGGGGGCCTGGACTTGCAACTGGCATCTGAAGTGGGGGCATTCTTATGGGAGTGGGCCCTCAACCTGTGGGATCTGACACTATCTCCAGGTAGACAGCGTCAGAATTGAATTTAATTATAGGATACCCAGTTAGTGTCTGCTGGAGAATTGCTTGCTTGCTGTGGGGAACCCCCCCCCCCCCCCCCATGTGGTCATAGAAGTGCTCTGTGTAGAGAGCAGAGGGGAAAAAATGTTTTTCCTTGTCATCTTACAGGCCCTGACAACCAGGGGCTCCTGACCCTAGGCCTAAGCAGTGGTGGACTTGGGTTCTGATCCTGGCCCCACTGATATTCAGTTGTGTGGACACAGGGAAGCTGCCTGATCTCTCTGAGCCTTGATTTCCTCACCCACAAAATGGACCCTGCCTGTCTATGTGGTTGTTAGGATTCAGTTAGATCCCACAGGTGAACATGTGGCAGGTGTTCACGCAGCAAAGCCAGCCGTATCACCGTTTCTGTTGTTATTTTTGTGAGGAGGCTGGAGCATATGCTCCCTCTCTAGCATGGAGATTCTGATTCTGGAGCTGAAAGATGGCATGGGGACTTAGAACAAGGGCCTGGCCTGCCCCATGGGCCAGTAGTGACCCTGGCGATCCTCTGCAGGCCCATGAGGTTCCTGACCTCAGTCAGCCCTCGGGGTCTTTGCTGGTCCCTAAGTGAATAAAAAATGCCCCAGAGCCATAGATAACCTTTTCAAAACACTTCTGAAAACCAAAATGGAACAGATGACTGCACTCCTCCTCTGCACTCCCTGCTCAGCCAGAAGTGAAAGGGAAAGAAAAGTCCCGATTACTCCAGCCTCCAACTGAGGGAGGGAGAGTTGGCTGAGGTCATTTCCTAGAAGAAGGTTTTGATATGAAGCATTTCCTTAGTCAACCAGAACCTGCTTGAGATTTTCCAGAGGGGTCAGGGGCCTGGCAGTGACTCGGATGGTTGCATTACACACTTCAAGTACAGTTCCCAGTAATCTTGCTGCAATCTTCCAACCCACAAACATACACTTGGTTCCAAAGAAAATGTCAGCAGCTTTGTGTAACAGTGAAGGGATTATACATACAGTGCCAGTTCAGTACAGAGCAACAGAACTGGGGCCTTGGAGAATATGGAAGCTCAAACTAATTTCTGTTTCTAGTTTCTCTGGTGACTTGAAAATATTTACAGAGGGCCTGCTGCATGCAGTAGTGCTCCTGGGGCCAGACAGGACAATCCTGTTGAAGGACATTTATCCAATGAGATAAATGTCTGTCTCTCAATGAGAATATTTTCTGGGAGAAGATCAGCCCCTAAGTCTCCCCTGGTAATAACGCTCCTGGGCTGGGAGAGAAGTGCTGCTTTCTTTTTATTTTTTTATTTTTATTTTGTCTTTTTGTCTTTTTTCCGTGTCCGGCAATGGATCGCAACCCTCAGTGTTGCCCCCGTACCGGACCGGGGACCGGCAACGGGATCGCAAGCCTCGGCGTTGCTCCCGTGCCTCGCTCAGCCAGTGAGCGGGAACCGGTCTGTATGTGGGATCCGAACCCTCGGACGGGAGCGCCGCCGCGCTTCCCAAGCGGCGCACTATCCAGTGCGCCACCGGGCCGGCCCATAAACGCAGTTTTTACTTTTGAGTGAGGTGCTGATAACACCAAGGTCAAGGGTTTGCATCCTTATACCGGCCAGCCACCCCAAAACAAAATAAAACAAACAAAAAAACCACAAAAAATATTGTTTTTGTAAATATGATGTTTGCAAATCCTTTACAATTTTAAGTATGTTCAGAGAATTTACTGTTAAGAGTTATCTGAAGTGCTGCTTTCTGTGGTGGAAACTTGGTCAAGTGGATGACCCTCTCTGAGCCTCATCTCTCTCATCTTTAAAAGAAATAGCACCACTAGCTCCCAGTGAGATTTAAAAATGAGAGAACTGAAATAAGGCACCTGGTCCAGTGCCTGGAACATAGCAGGTGCTCAGAAATATACAAAAATCTTTTCTATTGTTTAATAACATCCACATTAATTGTAATTTTAAGAAAATTGCCATGACTTTGCTTCCAGGACAGAGTGTTGGTAAGAAAAGCAGAAAAGAAAAATTCAGAATTTTACTCAAATGGAAGGACACAAAAAAATTCACCTGAAATGTGGAAACAGGGACAGGCTGCCTGGAGTTGTGTAGGAAGCAAAGTTGGTGATCATGGAATTCAGCATGGCTATGTTGGCCGATGTGATGGTGTGTGTGTGTGTCTGTGTGTGTATGCAAGTGTGCACGAGTTTGCAAAAATCCCCTCTTCCTCCCTTTCACCCCGCTTGTTTCTGCTTGTATTGGCTGCTCTCTGCTTGGGGCACTGCTCACCTTGGTCTTGATCTGCTTGGCTGTGTCGGTGAGGAAGATGGAGGAATTGGGGTCGCTGGCACTCATTTTGGTCTGGGCACCCTGCAGGGCAGGAAAGAAGGTCGAGTGCAGCAGGGCTGGCTTAGGATAGCCAATCCTAGGGGCGACGTCCCTCGTCATCCTAAAGTAAGGATCCTGTGGGGGGAGAGCAGTCTGATGAGGACAGCTGGAGCAATAGCCCAGTGAACAAACCCCAAGAGCATCTTACAGGAGACTCTCTGCTTCCACTGTAAAGAACTCAGCTCCCTCCTCCCCGAATGCTTTCAACACCTCCTTTTGCCCTGAAGATNTATGGGAGTGGGCCCTCAACCTGTGGGATCTGACACTATCTCCAGGTAGACAGCGTCAGAATTGAATTTAATTATAGGATACCCAGTTAGTGTCTGCTGGAGAATTGCTTGCTTGCTGTGGGGGACCCCCCCCCCCCCCACGACATGTGGTCATAGAAGTGCTCTGTGTAGAGAGCAGAGGGGAAAAAATGTTTTTCCTTGTCATCTTACAGGCCCTGACAACCAGGGGCTCCTGACCGTAGGCCTAAGCAGTGGTGGACTTGGGTTCTGATCCTGGCCCCACTGATATTCAGTTGTGTGGACACAGGGAAGCTGCCTGATCTCTCTGAGCCTTGATTTCCTCACCCACAAAATGGACCCTGCCTGTCTATGTGGTTGTTAGGATTCAGTTAGATCCCACAGGTGAACATGTGGCAGGTGTTCACGCAGCAAAGCCAGCCGTATCACCGTTTCTGTTGTTATTTTTGTGAGGAGGCTGGAGCATATGCTCCCTCTCTAGCATGGAGATTCTGATTCTGGAGCTGAAAGATGGCATGGGGACTTAGAACAAGGGCCTGGCCTGCCCCATGGGCCAGTAGTGACCCTGGCGATCCTCTGCAGGCCCATGAGGTTCCTGACCTCAGTCAGCCCTCGGGGTCTTTGCTGGTCCCTAAGTGAATAAAAAATGCCCCAGAGCCATAGATAACCTTTTCAAAACACTTCTGAAAACCAAAATGGAACAGATGACTGCACTCCTCCTCTGCACTCCCTGCTCAGCCAGAAGTGAAAGGGAAAGAAAAGTCCCGATTACTCCAGCCTCCAACTGAGGGAGGGAGAGTTGGCTGAGGTCATTTCCTAGAAGAAGGTTTTGATATGAAGCATTTCCTTAGTCAACCAGAACCTGCTTGAGATTTTCCAGAGGGGTCAGGGGCCTGGCAGTGACTCGGATGGTTGCATTACACACTTCAAGTACAGTTCCCAGTAATCTTGCTGCAATCTTCCAACCCACAAACATACACTTGGTTCCAAAGAAAATGTCAGCAGCTTTGTGTAACAGTGAAGGGATTATACATACAGTGCCAGTTCAGTACAGAGCAACAGAACTGGGGCCTTGGAGAATATGGAAGCTCAAACTAATTTCTGTTTCTAGTTTCTCTGGTGACTTGAAAATATTTACAGAGGGCCTGCTGCATGCAGTAGTGCTCCTGGGGCCAGACAGGACAATCCTGTTGAAGGACATTTATCCAATGAGATAAATGTCTGTCTCTCAATGAGAATATTTTCTGGGAGAAGATCAGCCCCTAAGTCTCCCCTGGTAATAACGCTCCTGGGCTGGGAGAGAAGTGCTGCTTTCTTTTTATTTTTTTATTTTTATTTTGTCTTTTTGTCTTTTTTCCGTGTCCGGCAATGGATCGCAACCCTCAGTGTTGCCCCCGTACCGGACCGGGGACCGGCAACGGGATCGCAAGCCTCGGCGTTGCTCCCGTGCCTCGCTCAGCCAGTGAGCGGGAACTGGTCTGTATGTGGGATCCGAACCCTCGGACGGGAGCGCCGGCGCGCTTCCCAAGCGGCGCACTATCCAGTGCGCCACCGGGCCGGCCCAGAAGTGCTGCTTTCTGTGGTGGAAACTTGGTCAAGTGGATGACCCTCTCTGAGCCTCATCTCTCTCATCTTTAAAAGAAATAGCACCACTAGCTCCCAGTGAGATTTAAAAATGAGAGAACTGAAATAAGGCACCTGGTCCAGTGCCTGGAACATAGCAGGTGCTCAGAAATATACAAAAATCTTTTCTATTGTTTAATAACATCCACATTAATTGTAATTTTAAGAAAATTGCCATGACTTTGCTTCCAGGACAGAGTGTTGGTAAGAAAAGCAGAAAAGAAAAATTCAGAATTTTACTCAAATGGAAGGACACAAAAAAATTCACCTGAAATGTGGAAACAGGGACAGGCTGCCTGGAGTTGTGTAGGAAGCAAAGTTGGTGATCATGGAATTCAGCATGGCTATGTTGGCCGATGTGATGGTGTGTGTGTGTGTCTGTGTGTGTATGCAAGTGTGCACGAGTTTGCAAAAATCCCCTCTTCCTCCCTTTCACCCCGCTTGTTTCTGCTTGTATTGGCTGCTCTCTGCTTGGGGCACTGCTCACCTTGGTCTTGATCTGCTTGGCTGTGTCGGTGAGGAAGATGGAGGAATTGGGGTCGCTGGCACTCATTTTGGTCTGGGCACCCTGCAGGGCAGGAAAGAAGGTCGAGTGCAGCAGGGCTGGCTTAGGATAGCCAATCCTAGGGGCGACGTCCCTCGTCATCCTAAAGTAAGGATCCTGTGGGGGGAGAGCAGTCTGATGAGGACAGCTGGAGCAATAGCCCAGTGAACAAACCCCAAGAGCATCTTACAGGAGACTCTCTGCTTCCACTGTAAAGAACTCAGCTCCCTCCTCCCCGAATGCTTTCAACACCTCCTTTTGCCCTGAAGATAATGAGGAACCTGCTTTTTTTTTTTTTTTTTTTTTTTTTTTGACCGGGAAGGGGATCACAACCCTCGGCACAGTGTTGTCTGCACCACGCTCAGCCAGTGAGCGCACCAGCCATCCCTATACAGGATCTGAACCCGCGGCCTCAGCGCTACCAGTGCTGCACTCTCCCGAGTGAGCCACGGGGCCGGCCCAATGAGGAACCTGCTTTTGAGGCCCCGGACTTACAGACCCCTAGCTCTGCCTTCTGACCTGATCAATGGCACACGGGATAAGGCACTGGATGTCCGTCCTGCCCTGGAAGATCTGCGGGAATGAGTTGCTGAAGGAGGGAGCAGCCTGGATGGCAGGAAAACTGATCTTCCCTGAAAGCGAGAAACAAGACTTTTTACACTTGAGACCAATTCCTGTTCTAGTTAATTAACCCCATTAAAGGAACAAAATACATTTTCTCCCCATTATAAATCTGAAAAATAGAGAAAATCAAAAAGAAGAAAAAAATCTATAATCCCAATCTGTAGGTCTCTTTTCACTCATTTTCTCTATTTTACTCTATGCATTTTAGTTGTGATGATAGCATATTTAACATTTTTCTTGCCTTTTTCACTTTGTAACATTCACCTGTGTCGTTAATTAAACACACTCTATCCTGTCAATGTATCATGTATTATTTAACCATTCTCTAACTACTGGCATTTAGTTTGTTCTCCATCTTTAATTATCATAAATTATGATGAACATTTTGGTATCTAAAACAGTGTTCAGTATTCTGGATGTTGTTGCTGTTATTTGCTTAGACCTACAGAAGTGGAAGCCAGCCCCCCTAGCTGCAGCACCTGGGCACTTGGGTGAGCTTGGGCATTGGCAGACCCTGTGGCTGGCCCAGGCGTGCTCTAGCTCTTAGTGAGAATGCGTGGCTGTGGCTGCAGCTCCAGCACTGCAGGGTGAGTTATCGGGTGCTGCTCTCTTTCCCCTCAAGTCCTCTCTGTGATGCTCTCTTCTAGCTGGCATTTGCTATCCACTTCAGAAACAGAAATTCCACTTCCAGGGTTCTTGTCTCTCTCTGGAGAGACCAGGCAGGCAGCTGCCATCGCCACCAGCACCACTGTCAAAAGCACAACGCAGTGCTGGCCATTCCCTGGGTGGAAGTGCCAGGCTCTATGCTCACGGCCTTCCATGAGCTCATCTGTTTCTCACAACTCTGTGGAGGAAGGAAGTCCCACCATCACCCCATTTCACAGATGTGCACACTCAGGCACAGATCCTTTACCTGGCTTGCCAAAGCTGGTACACAGCAATTAAGCAGCTGAGCCAGGATTCCAACCTGGGTCTCTGGGAAGCAAAGTGTGTGCAGCTATTCATCATGGGATGCTGACTCCTCAATTGCTCAATGCAGCCTTCACTGTGCTATGATCCCATTAGATGCCAGGATTCCAAGGATAAGAATCCCATTCAAAAGTACAGGGTCTATGTCCTAATTGTCAAGAACAAATCTGACTGAAACATCGAAGAAAAGGGTTTTGCTTACGTGAAAAACCTTCCAATAAAGGCCCTCTGTGTTATTTCTGTCTGGACTTATCCCTGCAGGTCCCTCACTGACAGGCCCCTGGAATATGCTCCCTCCAAGCACAGCAAACTCTCCCCAGAGAGTCCTGAAAGTATATCCTGGGGAGCTGTCTTGGCTGGTAGCTTTGATGGAAGGCCTACTAAATCTGGAGCTGCTCCCCAAAAATAAAATGGAGAAAGGGATCAGAAGGCCCAGCTGCAAGTCTCAAGGTGCTAAAAGTCTACAAAGCCAATGCACCTGAAAGACGTACAGAAATATACAGAGAGGGACTCAAGTGAGTGCACACAGCAGGCCAGCAATGTGCACATCAGCTGGGGGCATAGCCCCAGAAGGAGAGCAAGGGAAGGGTGGGGAAGGCTCCACAGGGTCTCCAGCCAGACCCCTCATCTCACAAGGCCCACAGAGACAAAGGCTTGCAGGCTGCTGTGAAAGGGAGCAGCAGACAGCTGTCCTCCTGCATCACTCTGGGCATGGTACCCAAGGCTACCCCACATTGACTTGGGTCTCACCAGAGGTGTAGAAACTCCATTCATTCTTACATTTTTCTCTCTTTCTTATAAACCTTAAAAAAGATGACTGAGGAGAGGGACAGGTTTTTTATCCTGAAGTATAGCTTCATACAGCCCATAAAAGTCGCTCAATGCACTATAGCTCTTGTTCCAGGGAAAACCCACACCTGGATGTCCTATTTAAAGAGACAATTGCAGGCTGGCCTGTTAGCTCAGCTGGTTACAGTGTGGTGTTATAAAACCAAAGTCAAGGGTTTGTTTCCTGTATGGGTCAGCCTCCAAAAAAAAAAAAAAGAGGAAATTGCAAGTGCTAGCATCTCAGAAGTACTCTAACTCAGGCTACTGTGAGACTCCGAAAAACAGCTGTCTTGTCCTGAACTCTGCTTGCTTTTTTTTTTTGGCAGCTGGCCAGTGCTAGGATCTGAACCCTTGACCTTGGAGTTATAACATCTCCTTTTTACTCCTGTCCCTTTGTTTTGTTTTGTTTTGGCGGCTGGCCAGTTTGAACCTGTGACCTTGGTGTTACAAGGCTGTGCTCTAGCCCATTGAGCTAACCGGCCAGTTCTAACATCTGTTCCTTTTTCATGGGGGCTAGGAGGGGGTCCACAGGCAGCAATGGGCTCCTTACCAATGCAGTCACTATCGGTGAAGCCGAAAATGCCTTTCACTTGGTTGAAGGTAACATGCTTCTGAATCTTTACCACATTCTTGTAGAAGCCTGGGCTCATCCTGCAAAGATAAGCAGAACCAAACCCAAAACTCGAGGGTGGCCTTCCAATGAGGGCAAAGTAGGAGCTGTTAAAACTGGATGCCAATGAGGTATGGTGTGGGCTAGACACCAGGCCACAGATGCAGGCTGGGGACATCGTGGTCACATGTGAGCACTAGGAAGGTGCAGAAACTATCTGTAGGAAAGATACCTGCAGCAGGCAAAGCAGACACACATTTAACTGCAGAGATGACCAGGAAAGGTGAAAACCTGTGTGAAACTAACACGAAGCAAACATGCAAATGAGACAAGAACACAACCAAGTTCAAAGACTCAGTGGCTAACATGACATACTTAAATTCTCTTAGGGTCGATGGTTCAGTGTGCTGAGGAGCTCAGTTTGGGAGCCCCAGGGAACTTTTCTGTTGACTGCTGTGGGAAAATATATGCTTCTTGTTGCAGGATGGAGTGTATGGATATAAACCGATGGGCCCAGGAAGGAGAAGGGTTAGTCTCAGAGCACCTGGTCCTTTCAGCATCTAGCCCCTGCTCCCCTTCCACTGTGGAGCAGCCCTGCCCCTGCTCCAGCAACAGAGCTGGGCCACAGCAGCTGCTTCGAGCAACCCAACTCTCTCTTCTGGATGGTGAGGGGTATGGATATGAGTCCTGGATCTGTGGCAGCTGTTCTGCTATCAGAAGCAACTAGGTTGAAGATGAAGCAAATGCAGAGAGAACACAGAACCTAGAGCAGTTTCCTACACTGCATTGTCTGGCTACTATATTCACCAGCTTTTTTTTCCAGGCCCTACCATGTGTCAGGCCCTATAAGGATGGAGAGGGAAGAAGTGGGTAGGTTAATGTTTATCAGTGTTTGTATTATACAGCAGGAACTGTGCTAGGTGCCAGGTACTGCCTAACTCTCCTTTGAAGTGGTAGCATCGCCTCCACTTTACAGATGAACACTGAGGCTCAGAGAAGTAAATGTCATGGTCACAGGCATAGTGAGTACAGGCTCCTCTGTCATCAGTCTCCTCTGACATCAAATCCTGTGCTTTTCTCACCACATCTCACAGCTTTTGGAGAGTTTAGACTTTTGGCATGGGATAGAGAACTACTGAGTGTCTTTGGGCAAGTGGAAGAGGATGTCAGGAGTGCGAGTGCACTGGCTGTGTGGGCTGGGGTCAGCTTGGGGCCAGAGGCCTGTAAAGGAAAAGGCCACAGCACCAAGGTCTCTTGGGGTTTGAACAGTGTCAGAATGGGAGGGACTGTCGTGGCTCTGGGCAGGGTGGGAAGTGCTTGGAAGAGAAAGAACACACTGGGAGTACCGGTACAACTGTAGTCCTTCCGGCATCTGTGTCACCCTGTCAGCATAATGAAAACAACACAGAGCATGAGCAACAATTGCCTGGAAAGACAAGCACTTGTCTTCCTGCTGAGACAAGAACTGCTGCATGTAGGAATGGGTCTCCTGGGAATGGCTGCTCACACCTGGCAAGAACCACCAGCTGTGTGCCCCCCAGGGAGACGCCACAGCAAAGACTGCACGCATCCTTGGGGTTGAGGCAATGGTGATCCTAACTGCCAGGGCAAACTGGCCTTCCATCTGGGGTCATGCTGCACAATAGGGGCCCCACAAGCAGGAAAGCCTCCAATTTTCCCAAACTGTGACAGGACTCCAGCTCTGTGGTGTTTGAATATTATTTCTGAGTTGGACCACTTTGACCTTCCTTAGAAGACTGGCCACTTGATGGCTGTAAACTGCTCACGCTGTGCAGGCTGCAGGATGAATGGAGATGCTGCACTATGAGCATGAGCAGTCCTCCCTGTCCTCCCTCAAGGACATCTGTCCCCTGGGCACAGCTGGGACAGACCCACCACACAGCAGTGCCGATGTCAGTGCCTGTACATAGGTACTTCTTGTGGTGACAATGAACACACCCACCTGATCTTATTCCATAAGTGATGGCTGAATGACCAGTTCCCCCAGGAGAGTACCTGCCCTTCACACTCAGGAGGGTTTAAAGTTGGAAGAGATTTTAGATCACAACATTTACTGAGTGCTCCCCAGGGGCCAGGCATTGCTCGAAGCACTTCGTACACAGAAACTCACGAACTCCTCATAAATCTCTACAGCACAGGCACTATGACCTCCTACCGCTCTTTATTCTCTATCTTCCTCCTCTGTCCTCCTAACACTTATTACTGTCTAATTATCACCATAGGACTCATTATCATCTGATTAATTACCTGTTAATTAACTCTCCCTCTACATAGTTGTTGGGATAATTGTTTTGTTCCCTGCTGTAGCCCCAGTACCAGTCTGGTGTATAGAACATGCTCAATAAATATCTGTAGAACAAATGAGCTGAGCTGAGAAAGCAGGCAGAGTGAGTTACTGCACGTGCCTAAGTCACACCATAGGTGGCCGTAAGGATCTGAACCCAGGCAGCGCAGCCTCAGCCTCTCTGCTATGCTGCCTCCCGCTAGCACTAAACTCACCTACTTCACAGGAAAATGGAGGCTCAGAGATTTAAGGACTTACCCAAGGGAACAAGCCTGAGCAGGGGCAGAGCTGGGTCTGGAACACAAGTTTTCAGACTCCCAAGTCAGTGACTTCACATCCCTCATGGCTCCTGGCAAGAAGCCTCTCTGGGCCCACACACGGGGTCCACAAAGGTGCAGGGGAGACCCACACTGTTCTTCTCCCACAAAGGCCTAGCTACTTCCCTCTCACCCAAAGAGAAGGTGAAGGCTGGCTTTGTTGTACATTTCTAGTTCCTAAGGACCAGGTTATAACACCAAGGTCCCTGCACTGGCCAGCCTCCACAAAAAAAACCACACACACAAAAAAAACCCAACAAAAAAGGACCAAACAGCTAGACAGAACTTTGTTATGTCAAAGATACAGATTTTAAGTTAAATTCAAGTAAGAGAAGTAAAATGCTCAAATGTTTAAAAGAAATTCTTAAAGGAAGTAATATGTTAAAAAACAGGATTTAACCTTTAAAACGTTTCTCCTAACTTTTGGTTCAACATAAAATGCCTTTCTGAGATATTACAGACCTGTTTGTTTGGTTGACATATTGTCTGATTTTCATCTTTACACCATGTTTGTAAAGAAAAAGGAAGTTTTTGTAGAAGATGGCCAGGAGATGAAACTGCAATCACCAAAGAGATGTCCCCACAAACCCCACTTTCTGAGTGTGCTGTAAGTAGGGCTGTTCACGGGGTGGTATTTTTACATAGACTGTTCACAAGTTCATCTGCCCCTTCCCCCAAGTGCTCACCTCCAGAGTCATCTTCATGGACTTAGTATAGGGCATTTGTTTCTGTCTCACCCCCAACATTCAAGTTCAGTGAGGCAGGGACTTGGCTCCTGTATTCTCAGGGCCCAGGGGGGCACCTGACACAAAGAGCACAAATAGCGGAACTATGTGTTTTACCCATCTAGTGGGGGAAGGGCCACATTGCACCAGAAGTGGCAGAGGTGAGGCCCAGGGTGCGGGGGGACCAGAGAAGAACATCTAAGTATGGCTGCAGGAGGGGAGAGCTCCTGGGAAAAGGCGATGCTTAATGGTGCATTTGGAGGACAGGGTAGGAATGGGCCAAGCCAGGGGTGGTAGGGTCAGGGGAGGCGACAGTAATTCTGGGAAGAGCAGAGCATGTACGAAGGTGAAGGATGTGGGTGGAGCTGCAAGTTGTTTTGTTTAGTTGGAGGTGACAGTAATGCTGGAGAGGAACACAGGGGCTAAATCACAAAAGGACTCGTGTGCCACCTGAACAGTGAGAACTTGCCTTGTCATCTGGTGATGGGGAATTGGGAAATGCACGTGAGCGGGAAACGAGATCAGATCTGCATTCTAGGAAGAGCACTAGCTGGTGGGGGATGCAGTGGGGTGGGGAGAGGCTGCACAAATGGGTAGCAGTTGCTGTGCAATGTCAGCAGTGCTGCCTGGTGGTAAAAGGAGGGGCTGGATCCATGGCATGTCTACGCTGAGGTCCAAGCAGTTGGATCAGATCATTTCAATGAATGGGGTGAGAGCAGTGAAATAAAGTGCCAAGTACATTTCGATAACAATAACATCTGTGTTCTCATCTAATCTCACTTCGTGGAGAAGACTTGCTACGACACACAGCCACTACGGAGGTGCCAGGACGTGAACCCAGCTCTATGTTCCTTCCTTCAAAGACACCACAGTACCTCCATGCTCACACGGCAGAATCGAGAGAGGTGATTTAGAAAAAATCTAATGGTTTAATTTAGCAGAGTTAAGTTGAAAAAGAGAGCAAACGAACAAAAATCTAATGGGTAAAATTAGAAAATTAATTATTTTAGGCCGACCCCGTGGCTCATTCAGGAGAGTGCAGCGCTCCCGCTGCGGGTTCGGATCCTATATAGGGATGGCTGGTGCGCTCACTGGCTGAGCACGGTGCGGGCGACACCAAGCCAAGGGTTGTGATCCCCTTACTGGTCACAAAAAAGAAAAAAAAAAGAAAATTAATTATTTTACTAGCTAGTAGAAAGACCAGATTTCATGCCAGGACATTAGTTGCTTTCAATGGATATAAAGCTACTATTCTGCTTTATGGGCTTATAAGGGGAACAGTCTGGGGAAATGGTAACAAGCAAGCTCCTTTGTGCTTACTGCTTACATAGCCCCTGTGGTGTTTCATCACACTTCCCATTGGCCTGTAACTGATGATGAGATAACACGTGAGGGCCCCTGTGCCCAGAGACGGGAGATGTACTCAATGTTGTAGCAAGGTGGATCTCAACTCACCAAATCAACTCTTGGGAACTGCCAGTGCCTTAAAGGGAGTACCATGTCTTAGATGTTCAAGAAATATTTGTTGAGCTAAACACATTCTTCTTGTGATGGGTGACCAAAGTCATCTTTCTATTTTTTTTTTTTTTTAAAGATGACCGGTAAGGGGATCTTAACCCTTGACTTGGTGTTGTCAGCACCACGCTCAGCCAGTGAGTGAACCGGCCATCCGTATATGGGATCCGAACCCGTGGCCTTGGTGTTATCAGCACCACACTCTCCCGAGTGAGCCACGGGCTGGCCCCCTATTTTTTTTTGGCAGCTGGTCAGTACATTATGGGGATCCAAACCCTGACCTTGGTGTTATCAGCACCCCACTCTCCAAAGTGAGCTAACTGGCCAGCCATGAAGTCTTATTTTTTTTTTTTTCCTTTTTGTCTCTTTTTTTCGTGACCGGCAACGGATTGCAACCCTCAGTGTCGCGCCCGTACCGGACCGGGACCGACAACGGGAT